ATCTAGTTAGATGATAAGTTTCTGGACGTCTAAAATGAATACCTTTAGGTGGTACTCCACCCAAAAAAAATTATTACTAGTTCCAAAAATTCTTTGTAATCATCCCTTGGCAGATTTTGGTTTAAATCATCTTTACAAAATAATATAACATCATCGGCTATTTTATGCAATATTTTTGATATTGATATTAAATAGGAATTCTTGCTTTTTTCCCAAACAATAATAAGCATTCATCAGCAACAAGGCCCGAACTATCATTTAAAATAGATACATAATAAATTTAAATTTATTATGCACATGTTATAAAATAATACCCGAAGGCAGTCTCCATTGAAAGGTAATTTATTTCCAGTAATTTGATTGACCATATTACCTAAAAGAAAAATATATTGACGGGGTATTTTTAAATCAAACGTAAAAACTAAAAAAAAGAAACGTAAAACACTTTGTGTAGAAAAGTCGCACAAACTTATGACACAATTGTGAACACTGAACGTCTAAACAAATCGACAGATTTATTGATAATGGCAATTTAATATTATGTTCTGTTTCTATCAATCGCTTATTAAATGTATTATAAAATATATGGCTATTGCATGTAGATAAAAATACGATAAGTGTTATTGTCAAAGATATAATGTACATATAATGGAACCACAAACACGTGTTTGTGGTTCCATTGTCTAAAAATACACAGCTAATTGTCTATATTTTATTATCGGAGGTTAAATATCAGTGTATCGATAAACCGTCACTAAAAATACTAATTTATCATAAAAACAAAATTAGAATTATTTATTTACAAAAATTAAGGCAAATCGTCCCTGTCAATAAAGTAGATTTGAGTTCAATTTGTGATTGTTGTAGCAGCAAGATTGTTGTATACACAAGACCCGACATCATGAGGGAGTAGTCGCACTAATATTATTAGTATTTAAAACCTTTATATATTGTTTGCACTGCATCGTTATATGGTAGAGAAGATAGCCATACTACTTAATTTTGTAAAATATTACCATGTATTATAATGTTATTATAATAGTACTGAAAAACAACGTCATCTGTTAATTACAAACCTCAACATTGATAAGTCATTTAAAATTGTTGAAAAAGTCTTGGCTGATAAATGATAATTAGTTTTGTCAAACATTCAGTTTTTTTTTAATTTACACAAAACCATCAACCTTACAGCATATTTATAAGAAACTTTTATTTAGTAAATATATGTAGCTACAATAATAGTACTTTAGGTTTTTTGCATAACCTCAATATTTAAGAAAGTACATTCAAAAAATGAAAATTCTCTCCAATTACAAAAACTTTAACCCCTTTGAGGCACGGGAAGGGATAGACTTATCACACTCAAACTTTATTATAATTATATTTTTAATACTTTGAACAAAATTTGGGGTACTACTCATCAAATTTTTCAATTCGAAAAATAAGGACCACCCTAATAAATTTATATATATTTATATATATACGTATATATTAACATTTGGCTTATGTCGACATTATCCATGCATGAATTTTGACTATAAGCATAAAATATCAACTTTATAAAGATAATGTTCAATAAATTAAATAAAGATTTTTGTTAGCATTCTGCAGGGGTCACCAACTGGTGGACCGTGAACACTTTTTATACGGACCACAGAGAAGTTTTTAAATTTTTGAAATACAAATATAATAACTGTAAGCGTCATATCAAATGGAAAATATTTAAATAATAGTTAATTGATGAATTGAAAGGTGGCAAGAAATTGAATTAAAATTGAATAAATTTGAAATTATTAATATCGGAGTAGAAGTAAACCTTATAGGCACTCGTAAAAAAATAGAGTACTTACCGTATGTAATATTCTACGTGAAAATGACAAATTATATAATATACTGAAAGAAATACACGTTTATGTGGGTCATGGTGATAAGCAGTGATGTAGATACGGGAGGGGGGTTACCACCCCTCCCAGATTTTTTTTTAATGATATTTAATTAATATTTATTAATATTTACATGTTATAATAAAATTATATTTTCATTTTACTATGATAAGGTATACTATATATTAAAAATTGAGTAACAAAATAATTTTCATTAAATACGGGACGTAATAAAAATACCATTTTAAATGTAATATAATTGTATAGGACCTCGTATTAAGATATACTAAGAATATTATTAATTGACTCTTAAACATCTCCCCCACAGAAAAAAATTGTATCCACGCCACTGGTGATAGGCATCGAATGATGTCCAAAATAAAAAAAAAAGTGTGTAACAATTTTGAATAAGAAGTTGCACTTATGTTCTTAAAATTCTGCAGATAATACTAACAGTGTTTTATTCTATTTTTTTTTTTTAAATTTATATTTAAATATTTCAAAAATTACACATTAGCCAACATGCATGGATAGTAGTGTGTAGTAAATATATAATAATAATACTAATAATACTACAGATAATAATAATTTCATATTATCTGTTATAATGTTAACTTTTATTGATCCAAAATACTAACTTTTGAGTAACCAATTTTATTATTATTGCAGTCATATATTCCCACGCCTTCTATGATTTCTTTGTGTCTTACTATTGGCACATTAACAATACTGCCAGCTAAAAATGTAGACATCGGGACGAATCGCTTGAAAAAATAAATCATAAAATATAATTTATTAATGAATATATAGGTATAATAATCTCATAAATGTATTAATTATGTCTGAAATGTTTTCAAGTGATGAGAGAACATTTGAGTTAATAAGTAAATTGTAATATTATTGGATGATCAATATTCATTACTCGTATCTATAACCTATATTATGATTTTTAAAATAACTTATAACCTACATTTAAAATAAACATGAATTTAATCACGTTTCAATCTACACTTCTACAAATAAGTTACGTAATGAAATCAATGAAAAATATTATTATTATTAAAATAAATCAAATACATACATAAAGCAATGGATGACATATTTTGCGGAGGAGAAATTTTTCAACGTAAGCTGCAGTGATGGTTGATGATGTTGTGGCAACCAACATTGTTAATCCTATCCCAGTTCTAGAAATTTGACTTATTTGAGTGTCACCGTTACGATTATTGAAGTTCACTAAAGCATCATAAGATTGATTTATACCATGAAAAATATAGCTCGTAGAATTATTTCTAGAGAAAAAAAAAAACAAGATATTATTAATCCGTATAAATATCTATATTATTTGTACAATATAGTAGATAAACAGATAAATTAGTAATCTCGGTTGATATCATGTAAACATTGTTCAGTTTTTAATTGTTCATGTTTATATCATACCTAATGTACTCATCAATATTAATATTTTTTCTGTTGGTACATGATAAGAAGAGAGCGAAACTTAAGGTTTTTACATATTTTTATTGGCTTTATGCAGATTTACGAGGATAAAAAATGTGTACGATTTATCCATCATAGATTTCGTAGGAAAACATTTATTTAGCATATTTTAGCATATTTTGGACATTAGATAATATTTAGCCTATTTTT